AAATCAAAAGGAATTCAGAAGAACCCACAAAACAGTCAATTTCCAGGGGACCCTCAGTGGTACATCGCTCGCTGATGTAATGGCCAAGAAGAATCAAAGCCTGAAGTTAGAAAAGCTCAATGAGAACTGGCTCTCAGGACATCCAAGTGAACAAAAAAGGCTAAACAAGCAGCTAAAGATACTGCCACGGCTGCTACCAAGGCTCCCACAAAAGCAGTGCCTACACAACAAACTATGAAGCTTGTGGGAGATTCTGCTCCCCAAGTCAGTGGAAACCACTAAGTTGGCAGATGAGACTTAAATAAAGATTGAATTATTAAAGAAACAAAACAAAAAACCACCAGTCTCAATCTCATCACTGTCTATCATGATGCTGCCATTTGACACAGTGGTGAGAATCTTTGTTTTCTTGATGTTGAGCTCCAATCCATATTGAAGGCTGCAGTTCTTGACCCTCTGCAGCAAATGCCTCAGGTCCTCCTCAGTTTCAGCAAGCAGGGTTGTGTCATTTGCATATTGGAGGTTGTTAATGAGTCTTTCTCCAATCCTGATGCCAGATTCCTCCTTCTAGAGCCCAGCCTCCTGGATGATCTGTTCTGTGAATAGATTGAAAAGATATCCCTGGCGTACACCCTTCTCAATTTTGAACCATGCAGTGTTTCCTTGCTCTGTTCTGACGACTGCCTCTTGGTCCAAGTATAGGTTTTGCATAAGCACAATCAGATGTTCTGGGATTCCCATTCTGCTCAGAGTTAGCCACAGTTTGTTGTGATCCACACAGTTAAATGCCTTTTCATAGTCAATGAAACACAGAAAGACATTCCTCAGGTGCTCTCTGCTTTCAGATAAGATCCATCTAACATTGGCTATAATGTCCCTAGTGCCACAACCTCTTCTAAACCCAGCCTGCACATCTGGCAATTATCTATTGTAATTTTATTCTTTCCACACTCTTAGCTTGCTTTATAAAGTTCTCAGATAACCATCTGAAAAGCTGGAGATGTAGTTGGACTTGACAGATTAATCTGTTATGTTTAATGGCTGAGGGTATCTTCACTATTTATTATGGAAAGATAGGTTTTGTTGAAGCTGTTCATGTACAGGTCCTATACTTGGGTACACTGAGAAGTTCGTGGTTGGTGTGTAGATGATAGAGCATCTAACCATCTAAGGGGAATCTTAAGTTTTGTAAGTACTCCCAAGTGATTTCATGTGAAAATTAGAGCAAAGACTTCATCTGATACATCAACGTTTGTTTTCAGTATTTTAAATATTTCATTAAAGATTCACTCCTCAATTTCTTATTGTGATTTTAATGAAGGTTTATAACAGCTGTGTTATGCAGTATTTATCTTTTTGTGGCCTGAGATATTTCACTCAACATAATGTCATCCAGGCTTACCCATGTTGTGTAATGTTTTACAAGTTCATTGTTTTTCAGTGCTGCGTAATAGTCCGGTGTTTTAACATACCACCGTTTTTTCTATTTGTTGATGGACTTCTTCCATCTCTTTGCTATTTTAAATAACACAGCAATAAATATGGTTATTCATACATAGGTTTGAGTGGTAGCTCTTGTTTCTGGTATTTTCCCCATAGTGAAATTGCTGGGTCAGTAGGTATTTCTGTTTCCAACTTTCTGAGAAAGCATCATACCACCTTCCACAATGGTTGCACCATTTTACATTCCCACCAACAGTGAATAAGAGTTCCAATCTCTTCACAGCCTTGCTGCCATTTGTTGTTTGCTGCTCTGTTGAACTTTGCCATTGTTGCTGGGGTGAGATGATATATCTCTTAGTTGTTTTTATTTGCATCTCTCTAATAGCTAGGGATTTTGAACATTTCTTCATATGTTTGTTTGCCATCTGAATTTTTTCTTTGATGTATTTCAGTTTATATCTTGTGCCCGTATTGTGACAAATGGTTTTGGTAAAATTAGAAAACCATCTGCAGAAAACTTAAGGAAGACCCACACTTCACACCATCAACAAAAACCAACTCAAGATGGATCACAAACCTAGGAGTAAAACCAAAGACTATACAAATTCATGAGGAAAAAACTCTAGAAGCCCTAATCTACAGCATGACCATACTTCCAAACATAATGGAAAACATACAAACAGGAGAGAATAAAAAAAGATGAATGAGACCTTCTAAGAATCAAATCCCTATGCTCATCAAAACACTTCAACAGAGTAAAAAAAAAAACAACAACACTGCAAACTGGGGAAAAAACCATTTATCAGTGACATATTTGGTAAGGGACTTATTTCTAAAATGTATTCCTTTTAAGGGGTTTTATCTTCCTAGAGGCTCTCTGGAGGCATAATGCACTGCATATTGTGTTAACCAAAAGTTAAGCAGTTTTAGTCTACCAGCCTCTCCACAGGAAAAGGATGAGTAGTCTTCTTCCATAAAGACTAACCTGGAAACTATTCTTGGAAGCCAAATAAAGGGTCACTGAGAAGGAGTCAACGGGACAGCAATGAGCTTTGTTTTAGGTTTTAAATCTTTATAAAAAATAACTAACAAACCCATGTTTAAATATTGTCATCCTTAATATCACATATGGAGGTATCATGTTATCATGAAAAGCACCTGGATTTTGGAGTTACACTCACTAGTGTTCAGATCATAGCTCCGGCTTACTTATCTGGATGAATCAAGGTTTTTCAACATTCAGACAGCTTTTTCTTTTTTCCATTTGAAGATGTTCCCTATCAAGAAAGTGTGTGTTAAGGCTGTATCTATTTTCCATACCTGTTCAATCTGCTTGGTGAACAAATCATTTGAGAGGCTGGACTTTATGAAGAAGAATTAGAGCATTAAGGGACTCCTCAACAACCTGCTATATTTAGATGACACAACCTTGCTTGCTTAGAGTGAGGAGAACTTGAAGCATTTGCTACAAAAGATCAAAGACTCCCCCTTCAATAAGGATTACATCTCAACATCAAGGGAAGAAAAGCCCACACCACTGGGCCACTAGGTAACATGATAGTTGGATAAGAGATTGAAGTAGTCAGTGATTTCATCTTGCTTGGATTCAAAATCATCACCTGTGAAACAAGCAGTCAAGAATTCAAAAGATTAGTCACATTCAGAAAGTTTCCAGACCTCTAAAGAGCAGTGGTGTCAGCGTAAAAAACTAACATGCACCTGATACAAGCCATGGTCTTCTCAACTACTTGTTATTTATCTGAAAGTTGGACAGTGACTAAGGATGACAGAAAAATAGAAGCCTTTGATTTGTGATGTTAGAGAGGAGTATTAGATATTCCTTTGGCTGCCCAAAGAACAAAGAGATCTGTCTTGGAGACAGTAAAACCAGAACACTTCTTGGAAGCAAGGATGGTGAAACTTCATCTCACATACTTTAGGCATGTTGTTAGGAGGAACAAGCCCTTGGAGAAGGACACCATATTTGGAAAGGTGGAGAGTCACCAAAAGGAAGATCCTCAACAAAATGGACTGACCTAGCAGTGGACTCTAATGTGTTGGAGATTGCAGGAATGGCACAGGATAGAGCAGTTTTCAATCTGTTGCTCATAAAGTCACTGTGAGTCACTCAACTCAATAGCATATAACAACAGCAGGAACAACTTGATAGAATTCTTGTGAGAAATTGAGACTAAACAAGGAGTTTAGTACCTGATGTATAATTGATGTAATTATTCTCTCTCTTTAGCTAGTGTATCCCTGTCTTAGTGCTAGAACTCTCTATTCTACTTGGCAAACACATTTAAAATGGTGTTCTAATATTATAATTTAGTACTTTTTAAAAAGTCATATACTTAAAAAAAATAGTACTGTAATTCCAGAATAAGTCCTATTCATTAGTATATGTCCTGAAAGGAATCAGAGACTCTAGGAACTTGGCCCTCTCCCTATGATTTTTAGTGCAAGCTTCCCTGAGATACCTCCTTAGTTAAGACAAAACATACATACAATTGCGCTTCTCAAAATCCATTGCCGTCAAGTTAGAACTGAATCATAGCTGACCCTCTGGTGAGTTTTCAGAGGCTTTAAATCACACAGGAGATGATTGCTTATATTTCTCCCATGGAGTTAACTGGTGGATTCAAACTGCCTGCCTTTGAGTCAGAAGTATAACTCCTTATGCACTAAACCAACAGAGCTCACTATATTGAATATATTTCTTTTTATAGGGTGAAGTATAGAAATTAAAACTTGTGATTATGCAATAGTTATTTTTATTTGATATGATAGTTGACTGTATTTGCTATTAACTTGATTTCTATTTACTGTTTCCCAAGTGATATGTAGAGTCATTTCACAAGCCAAATGCATTACCATCCAGTTGATTCAATTCATGGCAACTCTGAAGGGCAGAGTAGAACTGTCTGTAGGGTTTCCCAGATGTCTTTCCGGAAGCATGGTGCCACTTCATTCTCCTGTAGAGTCCCTAGTGGCTTCAGACGGTCTTCTCCTCAGTTTACACCCAAGCACTTAACCACCTCACTTCCGGGGATCCTTGTGGATATGGTGATAAGCACTATCAAATGTATACCTTGAAAACTTGATAAATTGTTTATTTTTCTGTAACTTAAAAAATATCATTAAAATATGATATATATTCTCTTCTTTCATGGTCACAAGGGACTATATATAACCCTGTGTACCAGGTTTCACACAGAGTTCCCTGCCTTTAACTGCAGAACATCATTTATAACCAATCCTGAGTGCACTGGGAAGCTATCTTAGAGTTTCTCTGCCAAGCAAATCGTTGACTATTCATTGATTGTTATGGCTTGTTTATCTATGTTATCTCTGATAATATATATAGTCTTCAAAAGGAATAAGTGTTCCAGGCTATCCTTAGATAGAAAATTGATGGAAAGTGGTTACTGCTGTTGGAGAATCTGCAGGTTCTGTGTTTTTTGTGACAAGATGTGAGGAATTGGAATTATTGCCCATAAGCTTAAGGCAAGCAATTACTGTTTTGATCAAGAGTTTGTGTTGCATTTGTTTTCCAGGGTCAGCCAGAACAGGCAACTCTCTTTGCTGCACAAGCGCGGCCCTCCCCTCAGCTCTCTCAGTATCCAGGACTGCAACAAGCACAGGTACCTATGAGACTCCATAAATCCTGTTAGGATTTCTGTGCTTTTTCTCTGAAGAGAAAAAATCAAACAAATAAAAAGGGTATTGATTTCTAATGTTGTTGCTGTTGTTATGTGCCATCAAGTCGCTTGTGACTCATAGCGACCCTATGTACAAGAGCTCTAAATGCTGTTCTATCCTGTGCCAACCTAGCCATCTTAAACACACTTATTTCCACCGTTCCAGTCACAGAATCGATCCATCTCACCAAAGGTCTTCCTCTCCTTCGCCGCCCCTCCACTCTGCCAAACATGATGTCCCTCTCCAAGGACCAGTCCCTCTGCGCAACATGCCCAAAATATGTCAGACACAGCTTCAGAATCCTTGACTCCGGGAAACACTGGCTTCACCCTCTCCAGGACAAACCTGTTTGTTCTCCTAGCAGTCCATGGTATATTTAACACTCTTCTCCAGCACCACAGCTCAAAGGCATCAATCCTCTTTCTATCAACCCTATTTTTTGTCCAACTCTCTGATGCATAGCACATAATTGCACAGACTCTAGCCCAGATCAGGCGCACCTTAGTCTCCAGCCTGACATCGTTGCTCTTCAGTACTCTTGAGAGGTCCCTCACAGCCGACTTTCCCAATGCAATTCGTCTCCTGATTTCCTGGCTGCTGTTACCAAGAGTGTTGACTGTGGAGCCGAGTAAATTAAAACTGTTAACTATCTCAATCTCTTCACCATCCGTGCTGATACTGCCAATTGGCCCAGTGGTTAGAATCTTTGTTTTCTTGACGTTTAGCTTCAGTCCATATTGGAGGCTGTAGTCCTTGATCTTCTGCAGCAAGCGCCTTAGGTCCTCCTCAGTTAAAAGGGTATTGATTTCTAATAGGGCCCAAAATTTTTTTCTTCTTATAAATTATAATTTTTATTTCAGAAATTACTTCCACTGATTCAAACTCATCTCAGAGTTATTGTTTTGTTATTAACAAAATCATAAAACATTTTAAGACCTGAAGTAGCCCTTGCCTGGCCCCTGACGCCTGCAGCAGTTGCCTCGTCAGGATGGAGCCTAACTGTTGGGTGCATGGCCCTTGAGGTTCGGGGGCTACTTGTTTTCTTTCCCTGTAAATGGAGGATAGAGCTGCCTAAATCTTTGTAACTGATCAAAGTAAACGCTACTCTTTAAAAAAAAAAAAAAGTTCAAGCGTTGATGGTGATGTTTTGATACAGAAATGCTTGATAATCAGAGTACTTATTTCCTATGCATTATGTGGACAGTTCATAGTTGAAATTGTTAAATTCAAAGACAAAAGAGACTGGCGATAGAGTAAGAAGATAAGAGAGTTGCTCTTAGGCTCTTCAGCCTTGACACAGCTCCCAACAGCTGACTGCTGTGTGGCATTATTCAGTCCCTAAGCTGTGCTTCCCTTCTCTATACAATAAAATAATAGACTTAACCTAATATTTAGCCGGTTTTTTTTTTAATAATTTTGTTATAGCTGCCCCCTGTAGACTCTTACTTTATCCTTTTCATAATGCCAGTGACGTTGACCAAGTCACACTGTCCACAGTTGAAAGCAAATCCAAGATGTTACTGAGCCATTGAGCCCTTCATCTGTCTTCTGGAAATTCAATGAACAATTCAAGCCTAGTCTTTCATGTCAGAACTATTTAGATTACCTTAAAGTGGATTGTTTTCAGAACCTGAAAAGTAACGTTTTCCTTTAATCAATATTTTGTTCTATAAATGATAGTGATAAAGAAAAGCCTTGGGCTCACTACTTTAAGTGTCCAGATACAGAGAAATAATATGCATTTGTATATTAATATTGACTGTAAAAATAATTCAGATTATTTGTAAAGCTCTAAATCATATACTGTGATTCTACCAGAGGTAGAGAGTATTAAGCCAATTGTGGCTGTATATCCTAGTTAAAGTATTAATATGAGGGATTTTTTTGGTAACTGATTAAGTCCTGATTAAGACAACTTCATCAAGTTCATAGAAATGCAGTTACATTACAGAAAAGTAGATTCCATTATTTTCATTTACTCTGTTCATGGTTAGCTTTTCTGACTACAAAAACATTGGAAATCACATAGAGTCCTTAGGATCTATTGAGCATTGATGTCAGCTGTTCACTAAAATGATAATGCTTCCTATACAGAAACATGTCCTTCTAAGTATAAGCAGCTGATTTTAAAAGCTAGTTTAACCAAGTGAGGAACTCATATTTTTCATTGCATTTTCTGGTAAATCATTGTAGATATTCATTCAAAGAGCTTTTGACAGGCCACCTTGGTTTTAGACTCCAACTGCTGTTGGTCCTCTAGCTGTTGTGAAAGGAGCAGTTGTAACATGGGAAAGGCTGTGTCTGACCTTCTACCTGCTTCATAAAGGGGAACTTTCCATGTCAGTAATATCTGTAATACGGATAACGACATGGTCAGACATGTCACCCTATGTGCTCCTGCACCTATTTCTGCAAACCACTAGGTCCAGTGTTGCAAATTAATGCACAGACTTTATTCACAAGTATGAAGGTAATAAGTGGTGGTAGTGGGAGTGAGGCAAAGAATATCGCACAATACAAGTCCAGGTTTAGTCCAGCAATCTCAAACGAGATTTATAAGACATAATTCCTCAATTAGTTCAGACAGCTTCTCAGTCAACAAGTGAAAGTCTAGGTTCAGGTCAATAGCACAAATACACGTCTGGTTTCCTCACTTAGTCCAGCAAACTTTATCTGAGAGCAGTTGGAAGTCAGCTTTTCATTCACTTATTCAGTAAGCAAAATCTGTAGCTCTGTCTCCAAGGTCCCTCTGGTTATGTCTTTCCACAATTACTTTACAGCAGAGTCTCGGTCTCTTTACAGTCTTTCTACTACAGCTTCTCACGGTGTAGCAAGTGCTGTCTTATATTGATCTCACAGCTGTTGATGATTTTCATGACTCTGTGGCTGTAGTTAAGGTAGCTGTAGACTTTGCTACCTCCCAATGGGGACTAACACAGTGGCTAGAAAATTCAATTTTTAAGGGTTCTGACATCCCACTTAAGTATCTTAGTGATGATACAGCTAAGCTGATAAGCCCACACTTAGGCTTTTTACTTTGTGTGTGCCTGCAGACCATGCCCCAGGGTTATACGATGTATGGAACGCAGATGCCTTTGCAGCAGATGCCACAGCAGCAAGCTGGCAGTGTGGTCCTCTCTCCCAGCTATAACTCCAGGACCTACTCAGCAGCACATTCCAACCCCGCGCTCATGGAGAGACTCAGGCAGATGCAACAGCAGCCCAGTGGCTATGTGCAGCAACAGGCCTCACCGTACCTGCAATCATTGACTGGCTCTCAGAGGTGACGTCTGTAGAAATAATTGCTGTAGTAAACATTCACATTCTTGTGTATCTTCTAAGATGTGGTGCTTTATAATTATTTTATGAGTTTATGAATAATTTCCATTCTGTCATGTCATTTGGGGTAGCACTGAGAAAGAGGTACACAATGAGTAATGGCTCATCTAATTTTGTTTAAGTCCTGAATAGTTGAGATTCACATTTCTAAAGTTAAATATGTTTGGGAAAAGATACTGCCATGTTGGCGCCACTACTCTTTCTGATCTCTTTTTCTTTAAAAAAAAATAGCTAAAAATCTCTTAAGATATAGAAATATTGGTTGCTGTCTAACAAGGGATTGATTATGGGTCAGCAGCGTTTTACTGGATATGATGATTGAAGCTATGAAATGAATGATTGCTAATAAAATTGCACTACTACTTGTTCTCATATATTAGAAATCTAGTTCTTCAGTTACAGTAGCCACATTTACAGTATTTAGTCATCACTTAGAACCCACAGGGCTATTTCTGATAGGCATGTGACCTGTGAAGTCACACAGAGTCCTATAGTTAGAGAGCCATTATCATTGATTTGTGAAGGAGCCTAGGAGTACAAAAGGTTAAACACTTAGGTGTTAATTGAAAGGTTGGTAATTCCAACTCAGCTCTAAGGAGCAACACTGATTATCTGCTCCCATAAAGATTACAGACTAGAAAATCCTCTGGGTCATCTCTTCTCTATCATATGGGGTCAATATGAGTGAAAACGAACTCAGCAGTACCTAACAACAAACATACTAACATGATTTATTTTATGCTCCACTGTCACTGTCTTAAATTCTTACTAATTTTTTCATTAATTAAAAGTCCTGCATGGTAATTTTTAGTTACTGTTGTTGTGTACTGTCAAGTCAGAACAGATTCATATCTGACCTCTAGTGAGTTTTAGAGGCAATAAATCACACAGGAGGAGAATTCCCATCTTTCTCCCAAGGAGAAGCTCTTGGATTCAAACCATGTACTTTTAGGTTGACAGCAAAACTCCTTACCACTAAGCCACAAGAGTAGTATATTTTCATGCTAGGTAGTAACCTAAATTGACAAGACCAGTAGCTACTTTATTGTCTTTGCCAACGTACTCTCTTCTTTTTCAAGTTACCCCACTTTCAGTAGTGTAAATCTCCTCTTACACAGTCATTTCATTAGTAGTGCCTTTGTAGATACAAAGGCTCTCTGGTGGCTTAATGATAAGAAGCTGTGCTTCAGTCCAAAAGGCGCACAGTTTGAATTAACCAGGAGAGAGATGGGTAGTCTTCTGTGTGATTAACTGCCCCTGAAAATCTGCTGGAAAGTAAGCTATGGGTGGGTTCTGACTTGATGGCAAACAACGGCAAAGTAGATACAAGGGAGCTCTGTTGCCTAGTGGTAAGAAACTGTACTGCAATCCTAAAGGCATATGGTTTGAATCCACCAGTTGCTCTGTGGAAAAAGGATGGGCATTCTCCTCTCATGTGTTTTACTGCCTCTGAAAATCTGCTGGAGGGTCAGCTATGAGTCAGTTCCAAGTCTGTGCACAACAACAAAAACATGTAGATACAAGGCACACTGTTCTAATCCACTCACTGCTGCATGGGAGAAAGAGGAGCAGTCTCCTTCAGTGCAGTTTAGTGCCTCTAAAAATCTGCTGGAGGGTCAGCTCTGAGTTGGTTTTGACTCAACAGCACATAACAACAATAACATGTACACACAGGATGTTGCAGAATGATGGATATGCTACTCAAGAAGAATTAGGCTTCATGCTAAGCTTCACATGCTAGCAGACAGCAGCATAACTCCCATGTAACACCAGCAGGGACTACAGGACACCATGTAATCACTGTTTCAGGGATGAGGCCTATGATAGTATATTTGGGAAGTACATGAATTTAAAAATCATTATTTTTATGATGACAGCATACTGCTTGGGTAATTGGAATCTGGAATCCAAAAGTACTAGAGTCAAACTTCACCTGTACTCGTATTTTGTGTACTGTTAAGTCGGAATCTACCCATAGTTGACCCTCCAGCAGATTGTCAGAGGCAGTTAACTGTACAGAAAGGGATTGTCCACCCTTCTGCAGAGCAGATGGTGGAACCGTGTGCCTTCAGGATTGCAGTGCAGCTTCTTATCTCTAGATCACCAGAGCTTCCTCGAAGTAATATTTTTTTCACCACAGTGCATTTAACTGAGAAAGGAAAATAGTATAAAATCTTAAAAGTGCATTTTTAAGCCAGGTACAACCAGAGACCCTGATCGGCATAACTGCTGAATGTTCACGACACAAAAAAACTGACCCTGCATTTGTAGGCCCCACCATTAACAAGACAGGTGTTAGACAGGGCACATGCTCTGTGTAGTTACATGATTTCCTGTTCCAAGAAGGTGCTGTCCTTCTATCAGAAAAGTAGTGTTGAGAAAATGAAGGTAGACCCAGCAACAGCCTCCGAGCACAGGCCAAAATCTGATGGAGGCCTCATGACAAGAGGTTACACTTTAGCTAGAGAGCAGAAGGAGGCATCCCGTTGAGTGCTGGGGCTGAGTTCAGTGTGAGTAGAGGGAAAGTAATTTTTAGTAAGTTAGCTTTGAAATAGGGATAATAAAACTCCTGACCTCAAAAGGCTATTATAAGAAGAAATTCAATAACATTTTCCAGGCCTTTATTACAACGCCTACTCTAGAAGAAATGCTTAAATCGTATTACTTCCTATTAAAATTATGAAAAATATCTTAAAAAGTAATTTAAGCATGATTGCAATTATAAATGGTGCATGTCCTTGCAGATATGTTCTCTTCTTTTTGAAGTCATGTAATCTATACCTGGGCATATGGGTTATGGTAGCTAGCAGCCTTTATTGCATTTGAATTGCAAGCGTAATTACCAAACACAGTTTGTTTCTTTGTGCATAATTGCATTGTACTAAGAGCCCTGATTTAAAACCTGACAGTGGTGGGGTGTGTGTGTAAACAAGCTGCATTATGTTTTGCCAGGCTGAACCATCAGTCCCTTCAGCAGAGCCCCCTGGTGGTTGGAGGAATTGATGCTGTGTTGAGTGCTGCACATCCAAACCTCCCCTCGGTCTCACTGCCTCAGGACCCGATGAGGCCCAGACAGTCACAAATTCGACAGCAGCAGAGACTCCTCCAGGTGTGTGACAGCAAGATGAGGGCAGTGAGTGCCAAGCCTTGCCTCTTCAGATGGTGCAAATATACATAGCCATCAATAGAAGGAGAAACAGTCATTATCTCTGAAGTTCCAGGGAGCCCTGTATATTTGACAATACATCATAAACCATGTCTTCAACACTGGACACTCTTGTGGTACACTTGCAAAACTTAGACTTACTAAGCTGGTACATTTACACAACTCTTCCACTGTAGACCTGCCAAGTCCTTGGCTGGAGTGTGAATTTTGTTGATCATCTTTCTCCTTGCAGAGAGATTTGAAAGGGTAAATGAGTGCTTTTCATTTCCAGTAGTAAAACTTGATTTATATAGTAATTTACTAGGGCCTTGCAATTGGATGTATGATTTCATGTCTGGGCTTTCGGGGGTGGGGGGAACAAAAAAGCAGAGCTGAATTGTCGAGAAATTTCCTCAGATTCATGCAGGAGTTGGTAATGGTTTTTATTGGGGGTGTGTGTGTGTGTGTGTGTCTGACTAAGCTGTTAAATTAGAAACATATTCTCTGGATCCTGTTAAAGAATCCAAAGGAGTGTTCTTCCTTTATTTTTTTTAATTTTTTTTTCCTCTACTAGTTTATTTACAAAATTCAAATACACATTTGAGCAAATTCTTTTCATTTCCCTCGACCTCCTCTACCCATGAAAATGTACAACCCAATGATTAATCCCTCCTTCCCCTGCACATCCTCATCCCTCTGCTTCCAGACTCTCCCACCCCTCCTGGATCCTTATACTCATTCTACAATAACAATTTTATACAGTATTTATCCTTGTGGGACTGAGTTAGTCCACTCAGAATAATGCTCTCCTGTCCTTCCCAAGTTAGGTAATAATTTACAAAGTTATTGCTCCTGCGTGCTGCATAGTATTCCATTGTGAGAATGTACTGTAATTTCTCAATCCATTCCTTTGTGGTTGGACATTTGAGCTGTTTCCATGTTCTTGGAATGGTGAATAATGCTGCTATGAACATTGGTGTACACATCTCAGTTTGTGCCTCAGTTCTCATATTCTCAGGTTATATTCCAAGTAGTGAAATAGCTGGTTCATATGGAATTTCTATATTCAGCTTTTTGAGGAAGCGCCAAACTGACTCCCAGAATGGTTGCACCATTTTACAGTTCCAGCAACAATGTATAAGAGTTCCTTTCTCACCACATCCTCTCCAACATCTATTACTTGCTGCCCTGTTAGACTTTGCCACTCTTCCTTTATTTGATTTAATTATTGGAGTCTCCTAGTTAGAAGTTTCTTCTCTTGGCAGACTTGCTTATGGCTTGCCTGTTTGGATGTGATGATTTAGTTGTCCTTGTTACTAACAATTCTGTATTGTTATTGGATTGGAGATTTTCTGATAAGATTGTACAGTGGCTTCCAGTTCAATCACTTGTAAAATTTAAGGTTTTTTTCTTATGTACCATTTAGAGAAAGAGAGAGAAAGAAAAACAAACTTCAAAGGAGTCTGTTTGGAAATCTTTGTAGAGAGTTGGACATCAAAGTGTTATTCTCTCCATTTGAGGTTAAGCCTGCTTTGCAGAAAAGGATAACAAAGAAAATTTATTTCATCTTGACACTGAATGGAAGGAAGAGAAACTTCTCTGGGCATATGAACCACCAGTTCAAGTGGGTTTGAGGTGTTGATTCAATATGATCTAGAAGGATCTGATTAATTGTGTCTCCTCATGATAGGCAGCTAGTTAATGTGTCTCCAAGTGATAGGCAGCTGATTATTTCTCCAGGTGATAGGAAGCTGATTACTTGTGTCTCCAGGTGGTAGGGAAAAGCCAATACACATCGTCTGTAGGCCAAGGTTTCACAGTTAGGAAATGTGGAGAGAATTTCATCATAAACTTGAAAAGGAGTTTTTATTGTTGGGTTTTGGTTTTTTCTTGTTTTGGGTTTATTTTGTTGTTGTTGTTGTTTTAAATATGGATGAGCTGGAAGATGAGCAAGAGTGTGTCTATAGATTGCCATTTCCAGTCGCTGTATAGATGCTATCTCCAAGAATGATAGTATGTCTCTAGTCCTCAGTTTTATAACTAGTAAAATGGAAATAGTTACTGTTCTTTCATTTGTTTGTATCTTTTAAATGTAGAATAAGGTTAATGTTAATTTAAATGATGTAATATTCTGGTAATGTTTCTATTAAATTTGAGTTACGTCAGTAGTGATGTGGTTTTGCATCCTAATCCATTTCCTAATGATTGTTGTGTCTCATAACTTCCCTATATTAAATTTCTAAATCACTTTGTACATCATTTATGTACTTAATATGCTCTGTGGTACTTTTCAAGGCAAATTTGAAAAATCTTTTCTTTTTGGATAAATACATGCTTTTTATCACAGTTGGCATAATATATCTTCCTGGCCTGGCAATTTTTTTATTACTGTCACAGTTTCTGGAGATAAAGTAACTTGTTGCAGGATCACAGTTAAGCTTACTCCCTTTTTATTGACTGGCTATCTCTATATGGGAAAAAAAAATAGTAATTACAGAGTAAGAGGGAATGTTTGTGAAGGGCTCCTAGAAAGCCAAATGGAGAGGGAGTTTCATGTTTTCCAACTTCCATTATTCATGTAGGGAGTGACCTGTCCAGATCTCTTCTAGGACTCCATATCTATGAGCTTCATCACTGACAGAGAAAAGTTATCTATGCATAGCTAGTTACTATCATGCTCTAGAGAAGCCAGATAATTTGGTTGATGGAATACAAGCCAAGAAAGAAAATTCTGAAGATTAAAAAGAAAATGTCAGAACTGTTATCTCTAGGACACTTTCCTGGAATAGAGAAGTGTTTGGGTGGAGCAAACATTGAAGATCATTGAAACAATCACCTGCTAATATTTTGGGTCATGCTTGCCGCACCTGGGGGATATCTAGTCTGTGTTTGTTCTGTGATTTGGAAGTGTTTTCTGCAGCTATGTGTGTGAGTCATCTTTATAACTGGCACAGTTCCTGACTGTGTGCTGAGAATTTATGTCAGCACAACTCATAGGGGCCAGTGTGAGAGCAAAAACATCTAATCCCATCTTTAGGAGATAATTCTTGGGCAATCTGTTTTCTGTTTGATTGAATACAGTAGAATGAAATTTGTGAAAGGGTAAATAGTGGAAATTAGTTCATACATTAATATTTAAGGGGTGTCCCATATGTTGTTGTTGTTGTTGTTATGTGCTGTCGAGTCACTTGCGACTCATAGCGACCCTGTGTACAACAGCCCTAAACTCTGCTCTATCCTGTGCCAGTCGCACGCACTATCTCTGATACACCCATCCTGATTACCCCAGTCACTGAATCAGTCCACCTCATAGAGGGCCTTCCCCTCCTGCACTGTCCCTCCACCCTCCCAAGCATGATGTCCCTCTCCAAGGACCGGTCCCTCCTTACATGTCCAAAGTATGTTAGACAAAGCCTCAGAATCCTTGCCTCCAAGGAGCCGCCTGGCTTACCCTCTCCAGGATGAATCTATTTGTTTTCCTAGCAGTCCATGGTACCTTCAATACTCTTCTCCAACACCACAGCTCAAAGACATCAATTCTCCTTCTATCCTCCCTAGTCATTGTCCAACTCTCTGATGCATAACAAGTGATTGTAAAGACCATGGCCTATGTCAGATGCACCTTAGTCTCCAGAGAGACACCATTGCTCTTCAGTACTTTGGAGAGGTCCCTAACAGCAGACTTTCCCATGGTAATACGTCTTTTAATTTACTGGCTACTGGTGTCAAGAGTGTTGACTGTGGAGCCGAGCAAACTAATGCTGTGAACAGTCGCAATCTCTTCACCATCCATCCTGATGCTACCAATTGGCCTAGTGGTGAGAATCTTTGTCTTCTTGACATTGAGCCTCAGTCCATACTGAAGGCTGCAGTCCTTGACCCTCTGCAGCAGGTGCTTCAGGTCCTCCTCAGTTTCAGCAAGCAGGGATGTGTCATCTGCATAATGCAGATTGTTGATAGATCTTCCACCAATCCTGACCCCACATTTCTCCTCATAGAGCCCAGCCTCCTGGATAATCTGTTCTGCATACGGGTTGAAAAGGTGTGGAGACATGACACATCCCTGCCGTGCGCCCTTCCCAGTTCTGAACCATGCAGTGTTTCCTTGCTCTGTTCTGATGACTGCCTCTTGGTCCAAGTATGGGTTTTGCATTAGCACGATCAAGTGTTATGGGATTTCCATTCTTCTCAGAGTCAGCCACAGTTTGTTATGGTCCACACAGTGAAACGCCTTTGCATAATCAATGAAACACAGATAAACATTCCTCTGGTACTCCCTGTTTTCAGCTAAGATCCATCTAACATCAGCTACAATATCCCTAGTACCCCAACCCCTTCTAAACCCAGCCTGGACTTCTGGCCGTTCTCTGCTGATGTGCTGTGTCAGTCGTTTTTGGATAATCTTCAATAGAATCTTGCTTGCATGTGAAATCAATGAGATTGTTCTATAGTTTCCACACTCTGTTGGGTCACCCTTCTTTGGAATGGGAACAAATATAGATCTCTTCCAGTCAGTTGACCAAGGGGTTGTTCTCCAGATTTCTTGGCACAACTTGGTGAGTACATCCAGGGCAGCATCTGTTAGCTGAAATACATCAATTGGTATACCATCTATTCCTGGGGCCTTATTTTTTGCTAGTTCCTTCAAAGCAGCTTGAACTTCTTTCTTCATCACCATAGGCTCTTACTCATATGTTATTTCATTAAATTCTTCTGTGTCTGCCAATTCCTTTCAATACAGTGACTCTTTTCATCTTCTTTTAATACCTTCTGGATCATTTAATATTGTGCTAAAGCATCCTTAACGAGGTTTGAATTTTTCTTCAGTTCCTTGAGCTTAAAAAATGCTGAGCAAGTTTGGCCCTTTTGATTTTCTGATTCCAACTCCTTGCACATTTCTTTGTAAATTACCAAGGTTATATAGATCATGAACACTGTGACTACAGAGGACCAAGAGACCTGAGAAAGCTTCACAAAAAAGCAGATTAGTGTTTGACCCCTGGAGGATGAACAACGTTTGACAAGGCAGAGATAAAAGGGGCAGACAAGTGTTATTTTTGCTTCAGCAAAATTAGATAATAATATATAAATATGTGTAAAAAAATTTTAAAAATTCTCTGTATGTCTATAAGATTTAGGAAATAATAGTGGTATTTAACTCCTCCTCTTCCTTTGCAGATCCAGCAGCACCCCCAGACCCAGCAATCTTCTCAGTCCCAAGGTCAAACACTGGGTCTACAAGTAATGCAATCCCAGCAGCCTTTGGTAAGGTCTGGTGGGTTTAGAACCATGCTTGGGATTGGTTTTTGTTTTGTTTCTTTCTAAAGGTTCATTGAAGTTCTCATAGCCACAAAATTGTAAGGAGTTATAATCAAATGTATTCCAACTTAGTTTAGGCAAGTCAGTCCTGACTCATCACTTACCTTCCATTGGTTTTCTAAGTCTGTAAATTGACAGGAGGTGGCCACCCAGCTGCCGAGGAGCTAATGGTGGATTTGAACAGCAGGGAGGTACAGCCTTTTCGTTTAGCTGCACAACTTCCTATGGCTTAAGCCTCCAGAGCTCCCGACCTAGAGGAAATAGTTTTTCCCTAGAACTTGATTAGCATAGGGGCTTACTACTGTAATTAATATGATGGTTTTATTTAAAGATATGTTATTATTGTTGTTATGTACTGTCGAGTCAGAATGAATTCATTGCTGACCCTCCAGCAGGTTTTCAGACACACTGAGTGGCATGGGAGGAGATTGTTAATCTTTCTCCTCCAGGGTCAGAGCAGATCATGCATTAGAACCACATGCCTTTGGGTTTGCCGCATAATTTCTTACCACTGAGCCACAAAAGCTCCCTAAAGCTATAGGTTTTTAAATTTCAGTAGATTATGTGACTTTATCTTTTCAATTTTTTCACATCGAAATTGATTCACATATTTAGAAATCAAAGATTAGATATTTTTATAAAAATGTTACAATGATTAATTTACTATAAATATTTAGAAGATAATTTTGTTTTGAGTTTTACTGTAATCTCAAAGTGTGGGGCTACCTTCTGAAATTTTACCTTCTGCTTTCATTGAATTAGCATTTGCTACAAAAATTATTGTGTACTTCATAATGGGATGATCTATTTATCTAGTTTTGTAAATCAAGTTTGGAAATGTCTTGTACCTAGCTAGTTTCAATCAAAATTTTCTAAACATTGGTAAGATACAACTAAGTGTCATTCGCCTCTTTGTTCTTTCCTTATTATTTTTTTTAAATTGGCTGTTTTTTAATTCATAAAGAACCAGAGAAATGTCTATCTGTGTTTCATTGACTATGCAAAGGCTTTTGACTGTGTCAACAAATTGCGGCTAACTCTGAGAAGAATGGGAATCCCAGAACATTTGATTGTGCTTATGCGAAACCTTTACTTGGACCAGGAGACAGTTTTCAGAACAGAGCAAGGAAACACTGCATGATTCAAAACCGGGAAAGGATTAATCACCAGGGATGTGTCCTATCTCCATACCTTTTCAATCTATATGCAGAACATAGCATCCACGAGGCTAAGTTCTGTGAGGAGAGATGTGGCATCAGAATTGGAGGAAGATTCATCAACAATCTGCGTTATGCGGATGACACAACACTGCCTGCTGAAACTGAGGAGAACTTTGAAGCGCTTGCTGTAGAATGTCAAGGACTACAGCTTTCAATCGGATTGAAACTCAACATCAAGAAAACAAAAATTCTCACCACTGGGCCAGTTGACTGCACTATGAGAGAGGTGAAGAGATTGAGATTGTAAACAGCTTTAGTTTTCTTGGCTCCACAATTAACACTCTTGGTAACAGCAGCCAGGAAATCAAAAGATTAATTGCATTGAGAAAGTCTGCTATCAGGGACCTCTTCAGAGTACTGAAGGTCAGTGATGTCAGTCTGGAGACTAAGCTGTACCTGATCCAGGCCATTGTCTTCGCAGTTGATTGCTATGTGTATGAAAGCTGGACAATGACTAGGAATGCTAGAAGAATTGATGCCTTTGAGCTGTAGTTATTGAGAAGAGAATTGAATATACCAAGGACTCCCAGGAGAACAAACATGTTCATTTGTTCCTTAATGGCAAGCATTCTGAGACTTTATCTGGCATACTTTTGGCATGTTGCAAGGAGGGATCATTCCTTGGAGAGGTATGTCATGCTTGGAAGGGTGGAGGGACAGCGAAAGAGAGGAAGACGAAAGAGAGGAAGACCATCGATGAGATAGATTCATTCAGTGAAAGTAGGTGTGTCAGAGACATTAAGATTAGCACAGGATAGAGCAGCTTTCAGGGCATTATACTTAAGGTCACTATGAGTCGCAAGCAACTCGATAGTATATAACAACAACAACAAAGTACTTTTAAAGAAAGTATTTTGTCACTATAATTATTGTTCACGTCACTTGCCACATACAAGGAAAATCAGTGAAAATTAATATACTTTTTAAATTTTGTTTTTATTATTTTGTGTGTGTGTACCGTCAAATCAGATCTGACTTGTACAGGAGGAGATTTTTTTCCTCCTTCTCCAGCAGAGCATCTGGTGGATTCGAACTGCATACTTCTAGGATTGTAGTGCAGCTTCTTGCCACTAGGCCACCAGAGCTCACTGAAAATGAATATTTATTTTGAAGAAAAGAAGCAAAAATAGTAAGTTGCTTTTCATGTAAGCCAGCAGAGACAAGTATTCCCTAAACCAATGGACTGTCCATACATGGCTCACAGTTTGGGAATAATTTTCAATAAAAGACTTGAAAATGGCTTTCTACAACTAAAAAAGGAGGAATGACATGGCATCAGCAATAGTACATTAAAAGGAATCAGAATAGAGTTAGATGGCCGAAGGACAATGTCCCAACAGAACTGATAATAGAACAGGCATTGAAATTTGACACTTTACAGGTTTTTACAAGCCTCTCATTTGACCCACTCTTAATTTCCATATTTTAGGAAATCCTTATGGACTTTCCTCAACTCACTGATTTTCTATTCTTTTATTTTATGTTATTTTAGAAAACAAACTTACCTAGTATATTTATTGGTGGGGGGGGGAATCCTTCTTCTAGTTGAGGAAGGATATTAACGTCTATAGACCACCTGTGTACTTACTATCCAAAATATATTAGCTGGACTTGGCCAACTATTATTTTTGTAATGTAGCAGGACTTCCTTTGGATGATATACTGCTTAATAACAGTGATGTGTCATCTAAGAATAACATGTAACCTTCACAGAAATAACCTCAAACCAGCAGAAATATTGTATGACTATTACAAAGAATTACCCACTGCCTTTTACCCCGATTCAGCAATTCTTAGAATTTTGCCACATGCGTTTTCTTCTTCTGTCTCTGCATAATATTTTTTTCAGATCATAAATATCAGTTACAGACACTTAACTTTTTCTCCATGAGTACTTTAATATGTTTTCTTCCAGAACCAGCATATTCCCTCTTTTAAAAAAATACCAAAAAAAAAAAAAACTTAGGACAGTTATTAAAATAAGCAAGTTTAACATTGATCAAATCCAATAGAATCATCTCTACATTCTGCCAGTTTCCCCAGTACTGTCGTTTATTTTGTGAGTATGTGTGTATGCAAACTTCACATATAACCTTTCTCCCAGTTCAGTACCATACATTACATTTAGCTGTCATGTGTAAATTGACTTCTTTCCAGTAACACCACTAATCATATTTTGTTAAGCATTTTATTACACTATTGTGGTCTTCTCACTGAAAATAACAGTACAAGATATAGGGGATCACTCTCACCATCCCCAGTTGTTTATTTTTATACAATATTAGGAAACATTTTCTAAAATCCACCTGCTGGTCCTTGAGAGCAAGGTAGGCTCTCTCTCCTTCCGTGAGATTGCAGCTGAGGAATTGGAACTGTAAGTGGTTCTGACTCAGTGATGGAGGTGGGGATGTGCATGTGTGAATATATAAATATAAAACATTAAATATAGGGAGCCCTGGTGGCCTAATGCTTAGAGAATGCACTGCTAACCCAAAAAAAGGTGCCTTTCTGGTGATCTGAACCTACCAGTAATTTCATGTGAGAAAGATGTAGTCTCCATGTGCTTTCTAGCCTCTGAAAACTCTCTAGAAGGTCAGGTATCAATTAGTTTCATGTATAATATACTGATTGTTATTTAAGATGCTCTGCTGATATAGGCTGTAGGGATTTGCACCATTAACCCAAAGATGTCATCTCTCTTACAATTATTTTTATTATTATTATTTTTTTTTAATTTATCAACATCTCCAACAGATCCTGTTCTTGTTACCGAAAGTGTCCCCTACTGAATTTCCGTCTTTGCTGGTTTGGAGTGCAGCAAGCTGACTTTTGTAGAGAACCCAGCTCTGACTCCTTTGGGGTTATGATTCATGCACTGTAAAAGGAGAAGTGGAAGTGGCAACACAGCCATTACCCTCCCTGCAATTTGCCCTGCTTCTCACTGCTGACACATGATTCACTTTAACAAGTTGTTATTCTAAAGACCCTACAAGATGCCATGGAGCCCACCAGTGAAGTACTAAGACTGTGCCCTTATGGTAGCAACCTCATAACCACGAGAAATAATTGAATCTCTCTGCTATATGGATGCTTTGTTTTTGATAGGAAGAGCTATAGAGGTCAAGAAGGATAAGAAGTTTAGGGAGGAGGTTAAAAAAATGTATTAGAAGGCAGTAGGATCTGATGCTCTGGTTTTGACTTCCAATCTGTTCTTGTTGATGGTGTCAGCAGGTATACATGGAGAACTAGTCAGCAACCATGCTTCTGGCTCGTTCTCTCTTATTGCCATCAAGTTGGAACCTCATATAACATTCATAGTTGGCCCTCTACCCTGTTTTCAGGGGCTGTGAATAGCATAAGTAAAGATTACCCTTCTTTAATCCCACAGAGCCACTGGTGGATTTAAACCACCAAGAGGCACCCGCCACATTAGGATTAGCAATATTACTCTCTGTGGACCATCCACAGGGCCACCAGGGCCAACAGCCATGTATTATTGATGCTTATCAAAAATTAAATGCCGGCGAGCTCTGGTGGCCTAGTGGCAGGAAACTGCACTGCAATCCCAGAGGTGCACGGTTCAAATCCACCAGATGCTCTGCTGAAGGAGGAGGAACAATCGCCTCCTGTACCAGTCAGATCCAATTTGACGGTACACACATAAAATAAAT